TCATTGACTGGCTGCTTCCTGCACGCCCCACATTGGAATCAATCTGGCAACCTGGGCATGTGTCCTGACCAGACCTTTTGGTTAATGAGTCGATGCTCAACCACTGAGGCACACCCACTGGACCAGGCAGATGATCTTGTTCTAAGAATACCCGTAGTAAATTTTCAAATAGTATTGTGGCTTCTATATGTCCTATTCCATGAGAACTATAAATTCCATTAACAAAGTCCTTGAGATCAAAGTTATATATGAATTTTCCAGTGTTTTCATTTTCTGTGTATTCAGACATATGGCACGTGATCCGGTAACATTGGTATCACAAGTAAAAAGTGAGCTTATTACACACGTGGAAACAGAGGCCCCATCTCAGAACATGAATCAGCATGTGTATTTTCTGAAAAGTGCAGTTGTTTTCTGAATTACGCTTGAAGAAGTGCTTATATTTCGGACATATCTTGACATTTCCCGCTGAGAAATATACACCACTGAACCTTAATAATGCAAACAAAGGACTCAGAAATCCATACGCCTGTGTCCACATCCTAATTTTAAAGTTTATTTTCCTGAAATGCGAAATCCGTACCATGGATTGTTGGACACGTGTCACCCTCATGTGTCAGTGTTCGAAAACATTATCAGCGAATTTTATTGGGGCAAAGTGATCTTATTGGATGATTCAAGATACTCCCCTAGCGCTGTTTTCATGTTGGGTGACATGAACTCTGCCGGCCGTCTCTTGGTAAGTGTGGCTTCTCTTTTCATTCAGAGACAGCTGACCTTCACGGATGTGGCCATAGATTTCTCTCAGGAGGAGTGGGAATGCCTGGACCCAGATCAGCGGAAATTATACCTGGATGTGATGTTGGAGAACTATGGCAACCTGGTCTCCGTGGGTGAGGATGACTTCTCTCCTGAATTTCTATGCAGGGGTTTTATTCCATTTATTATCAGGGTCTTGTTCCTTTATTATTTAACTAGAGGCCCTGTGCATGAATGCCTGCCCACGTGATCTGACTGAAACTGGCTCACCGACATCCCACGAGAGGTCCCGAATGGCAAGAGGGCACAGGCCCGTCAAGGGACCCCACCAGTGAACAATCACGGTGGGGTAAGACAAGGCAGGTTGGCCAGCTGGGAAGGTACCACGGGAGTGCTCCAGGGTGTGTCTACCCATCTCGCTCAATCCTGATCCGGTGGACCCCAGTAGCAAGGTACCCTACCGGTTGGAGTGTGTGCCCTCTGGTGGTCAGTGCATGTCATAGCGAGCAGTTGAGCTCCCTTAGCACATCATTAGCATAGTACGCTTTGATTGGTTGAATGGCCAACTGGTCAACTGGACACTTATCGTATACAATAAAAGCCTAAAATGCTATCTTTAGGGGGCTTCTGCTTTCTTACTCTCTGTGTTGTGTATCTGATCTCAAAACTTCCATCTTGCAGACATATCTCATTATGTATTAAACCACTACTTCCTCATTTGCCTTAAAAGGAAGGCTTGCTTGTAACTACCTTTTTAAAAAAAATAAAAATAATGTGGACTACATTAGATTACTCACCTGAGGGACATCCTGTAGTATCTCTCTCTTTGTAACTTGTGTGCTTCAGTGACAAAGTGTCATCAGTGTTTCTCTTTGTGGTATCAGGTGAAAATACCTCTTTTTATTTTTTAGAAGGATAGTATTGCATTACATGTATACAGTAAATTTTATTCATTCGCTTAACTATCTATGGACATTTGAGTTGGTTCTATCTAATGCAGGCTCTTCTGAATAACATTGTAATGGACACAAATGTGTAAATGTCTCTTGAAGATCCTCTGTGAATATTTTTCAATATACACCTAGAAGTAGGATGGCGGCCAGCAGTATTTTATACTATACAGCATACAAATTATGCACCTTCTACATGAAGTTAACTTTAAAATATTTTAAGGCTTTAACAATATACTTTAAACTCAGTATGTCAGTTGCATACAAAACTGTGCTACTTGCCATCTCTACCCCTGTACCCACTGAAGTTATTGATATCACATTATCTTTTACGTTGTGTGTATTCTAGTAGAGATTTAAGATTTTATTCCTTTTATTTATTCTTTTTAAAAATGTATTTTTTGAAAGTTATTTTTTCATATGCTTTTAGGATTGTATTCTGGGATTCATGATATTTTCAATTTCTCCAATTGTCATGACCTTCAACTGTTAATTTTTTTATATGAGGTGTTTAATTCAGGTATTATATTTTTCAATTTCCCATTTTCCAGTGGTGTTTGTAAAATATTTTCTTTCTCATAGTATTTTTATTTTGATTATATATTATTATGGTGATATATAGTTCTCTTTTTTCTACTTTTTAGTTTTAAGATATTTATTTTTCATTTTTCTTCAGGTAATTAATATATTTCCATTAATATATTACCCATTTGATTACATATATTTTGTTTTTCTGATGGGACACTTTTTTGTTTCTTTGCATGACTCGATGTCTTTTGTTAAGATTCAGGAATTGTAAACAAGCAGGCTTTTGAATATGCTTTTTATAGGAGGAAACAACTAATAACCATCTGTAGCATAAATTCTATTTTCGGTCAACACTGTTTTCAGGATCTGTAGTCTTGGTTCAGTTGTCTGTTTAATTTCCCAGTTTAAATGTTGTATGTTTCTTTCTCAGACCCATGGTATCTTTTCTTTTTTTAAAAATATATTTTATTGATTTTTTACAGAGAGGAAGGGAGAGGGGTAGAGCGTTAGAAACATCGATGGGAGAGAAACATCGATCCGCTGCCTCCTGCACATCTCCTATTGGGGATGTACCTGCAACCAAGGTACATGCCTTTGACCGGAATTGATCCTGGGACCCTTCAGTCCACAGGCCGACGCTCTATCCACTGAGCCAAACCGATTAGGGCCCCATGATATCTTTTCAAGCTTCATATACATCTTCAGTGCCACAGTCTTTGTGGTGCTCAAACAATTTCTCATTGTTTCTTTGTAGCAACCACTACAGGGCACTCATTGTATATCTCCATTCTGTTCACACTCTGTGTCATGCACAACAGACACTTGTTATTCAAGATGCTTCAAAACAGGGAGATCACTGAGCACCCACTTCTCTCTTTTCTCTCTCCACTGAAGAAACTGGGAGGTGGAAGCTGTGTGTGTTCCCCCTCGTCCCGCCTGATTCAGGGTTCAGGATCTGGAATGGGGCTGCATGCAAATGAAAGAGATGGGACAAGAGATAATTTGGAAAATGGGGGTCAGGTGAGAGCTCATTTCAAGAGGATGGACTCCACTTGTGCTCAGGCCTTTCCATCCTTTTATTCAGTTTGAGATACACCTGTAGCCCTTAGACAGACAAGTTCTAGTAACAGATAGACTATCTTATCAGTAAGGATTTACATGAATATCTGGTGGGGAAGTTGCTTCAGCTACCATTGTCTGGACTAAACAGTGGATACATAGCCCTGACCTTTGCCAGGGCTTCAAGGATCACCAGCATTCGGAGCTCCTTGTCCACACCTCTCTGCTAGATAAAACAATAGGCTGCTGCCCACAGAAGTGTTTTGATAATATTGCCATTGTGTGCCAGGGTGTTTGAGCAGGTATCATTGACAAATGTAAGCAACTCTTTGTTCCTGTTTGATGGGACTTTTCCTCATTGTACCTATCTTGAGCTTTCTTGGAATTCTGCACTTGCATTCGGAGTACTCAAAAATGTCATTTGGTCAGTACTTGCTGGTCATTTCAAAGTGCACTCATTTGATTGTCAAAACTCAAAATTTGTTTTCTTTCAGCTATGTCATCTGAAGATGCCCAGGCCTTTTTCCTAAAGCCCAGAATTCAAGATTTATTCTCTGAAATTATACTGGTAAGATATAAAAGGTGTGGTTTTGATAATGTACACTTAATGAAAGCCTTGGAATTTGAGCATGAATGAGAAGAAAGGATGTTAATATAAACCAAAGTAACCTGGAACTGGTATTCATAATACAATTCTTGTTAACTAAAGAGGTCGAGTGTGCTATGCACACTTGGAATACTCCCACTTTAAAGTCAGTTACATTGGCAGATCAGTGTGTTTCTGCACATGATGATTGAAAACTTTTTACTCTTATGTATTCTTAAAAGGGAATGTTTGGTGTGAATAATGATTAGAATTGTTTAAAATGTAGGATGGGATTAATCTTTCGGTCATTAATTTCTAAAATTTAGATATTTATAATGTTTCTATAAAATTAAAACCTGCTCAATCTGGCAATTTATGATTTTTAAAAAATATATTTTAATTGATTTTAGAGAGGAAGGGAGAGAAAGTGAGAGAAACATCAATAATGAGAGACAGTCATTGATTGGCTGCCTCCTGCATGCCCCCTCATGGGAC